GATTTTGGCATTTGCGCCTTTTCGGCTCTCCGACGGCTCAAGACGGCCCAAGAAGCCCCCAAGATCGCCCAAGAGGCCCCCAAGAGAGCCCCCTGATGGCCCAAGTGGCCTCCAAGATGGCCCCTAGAGGGCCCCAAGACGGCCCAAGAGGCCTCCAACACGCCCAAGATGGCCTCCAAGACGCCCAAGATGGCCTCCAAGACGGCCCTGGAGCGCCCCAAGAGGGTCCCCCGTTGGCCCAGAAAGGCCCCCAAAACGGCTCCCGACGGCGTCAGACGTGCCAGGAACCCACCAAGATGGCCGAAGTTGGCTCGAAGCTGGCCCAAAAGGGCCCAAGAGGCCCCCAAGAGGGCCTCCAGGAAGGCCAAAAGATGCCAAAATCACTGATTTTCCCAAGGTTTTTGATGGATTTGGGCATTTCCCTTTTTTCGGCCTTCCGACGGCCCGAGACGGCCCAAGAGCCCCCAAAGATCGCCGAAAGATCGCCCAAGAGGCCTCCAAGACGGCGACGATGACCATCAAGACGCCCACGTGTTCCCCGAAGGCTTTCCAAACCGATTCGGGGAACACATGGTCCGATGGCTTGGCAGGTCTGGCCTCAACGTTCGGCCACATAGGCGCTTCCACAAAGGCAGGGGGATTCGCCGTATTCGCCGTAGGCGTCTTCGATCCGCCGCCCCCTGTCGATTCATCGCAGGGGTGCCTGGCGTGCTGGACCCTCTCGGTTTTGGTTTTGGTTCTTTTCCAAAAGAACCCCCCCTGGGGCTTCGGCACGTCCCGCCAGCCACCCGGAAAGACGCTCAATCCGGAAACAAATCCTCCAAGACGGCTCAAGATGGCGCCAAGATGGCCACGTTGGCCCAAGATGGCCTCCAAGATGGTCCAAGATGGCCTCCAAGTCCGCCCAAGATGGTCCAAGACGGCCTCCAAGATGGCCCAAGAGAGTCCAAGACGGCCCAAGACGGCCCGAGAGGCTCCCCAGAGGCCTCCAAGACGGCCCCAGAGGCCTCCAAGAGGTCCTCCAGGAGGGCCTGAAGATGCCAAAATCATTGATTGTCCTTAGGTTTTTGAAGGATTTGGGGATTTGCTTCTTCTCGGCATTCCGACGGCACAAGACGGCCCAAGAGGCCCCCAAGATCGCCCAAGAGGCCCCCAATAGGGCCCCGTGCGGCCCAAGTGGCCTCCAAGACGGCCCAAAGATGGTCCCAAGACGGCCCAAGAGGCCTCCAACACGCCCAAGATGGCCTCCAAGACGCCCAAGATGGCCTCCAAGACGGCCCCGAAGCGCCCCAAGAGGGCCCCAAGTCGGCCCAGAAAGGCCCCCAAGACGGCTCCCGACGGCGTCAGACGTGCCAGGAACCCACCAGGATGGCCGAAGTTGGCTCAAAGCTGACCAAAGACGGCCCAAGAGGCCCCCAAGAAGGCCTCCAGGAAGGCCAGAAGAGGCCAAAAACATTGATTTTCCGGATGTACTTGACAGATTGTGATATTTGCATCGTTTCGGCCTTCCGACGGCCCGAGACGGCCCAAGAGCCCCCGAAGATCGCCGAACGATCGCCCAAGAAGCCTCCAAGATGGCCCCAGAACGGCCCAAGAGGGCCCCAAGACGGCCCCCAAGACGGTACAGGAGGCCTTTAAGACACCCAAGATGGCCTCCAAGACGGCCCTGGAGCATTCCAAGAGGGCCCCAAGTCGGCCCATAGAGGCCCCCCAAACGGCTTCCGACGGCGTCAGACGGACCAGGAGCCCACCAAAACGGCCGAAGATGGCCCTAAGATGGCCCAAGACGGTCCAAGAGGCCTCCAGGAAGGCCCGAAAAGGCCCAAATCATTGATTTGTTATGGGTTATTGAAGGGTTGTGGCATTTGCTTTTTTTTCTGCCTTCCGACGGCCCGAGACAGCCCAAGTGCCCACAAAGATCGCCCAAGAGGCCCAAGACACGGCCCCAAGAGGCCCCCAAGACGGCCCAAGAGGTCTCAAAGACGCTCAAGATAGCCTCCAAGACGGCCCAAAAGCCCTCCAAGACGTCCTCCAAGAAGGCCCGAAAGGGTCAGAATGGCCTCCAGACGGCCAAGATGACCTTCAAGATGCCCACGTGTTCCCCGAAGGCTTTCCAAACCGATTCGGGGAACACGTGGTCGGATAGCTTGGCAGGCCTCTGGCCACAACCTTCGGCCACATAGGCGCTTCCAAAAAGGCGGGGGGCGGCGGTGATTCGCCGTAGGCGTCTTCGATCCGCCGCCCCCTGTCGATTCATCGAAGGGGTGCCTGGCGTGCTGGACCCTCTCGGTTTTGGTGCTGGTTCTTTTTCCAAAAGAACTCCCCCTGTGGCTTCGGCCCGTCCCGCCAGCCACCCAGAAAAGATCTCAAAACATGGTTGCAAAAGGTGTCCCTGCTCCAGATGGCTCCAAGACGGCCCAAACTGATCCCCAAGATGCATCCAAGACGGCCAAGATGGCCCCCAAGACGGCTAAGATGGCCCCAAGATGCCTCCAAGATGGCCCAAGATGCACCCAAGACGGCCCAAGATGGCCTCAAGATGGCCCAAAACGGCACCAAAGGCTCCGATGAGGCCTTCAATACGGCCCAAGAGGCCTCGAAGAGGTCCTCCAGGAAGGCCCGAAGAGGTAAACATGCTTGATTGTCCTAAGGTTTTTGACGGATTTCGGCATTTGCGCATGTTCGGCTTTCCGACGGCCCGAGACGGCCCAAGAGGCCCCCAGGGTCGCCCTAAGATCGCCCAAGAGGCCTCCAAGATGGCCCCAGAACGGCCCAAGAGGCCCCCAAGATGGCTCCTAAGAGGCACCCAAGACGGCCCAGGAGGCCTTTAAGACGCCCAAGATGGCCTCCAAAGCGGCCCTGGAGCACCCCAAGAGGGCCCCAAGTCGGCCCAAAGAGACCCTCCAAACGGCTTCCGACGGCGTCAGACGGGCCATGAGCCCACCAAGATGGCAGAAGTTGGCTCGAAGCTGGCCCAAGACGGCCCAAGAGGCCTCCAAGAGGGCCTCCAGGAAGGTCAAAAACTGCCAAACACATTGTTGTGTCCGCAGGTGTTGGAAGGAGTTTGGCATGTGCTTCTGTTCGGCGTCCCGACGGCTCGAGACGGCCCAAGAGCCCCCGAAGATTGCCCAAAGATCGTCCAAGAGGTCTCCAAGATGGCCCCAGAACGGCCCAAGAGGCCCCCAAGACGGCCCCGAGAGGCCCCCACGACGGCCCAGGAGGTCTTTTGAGACGCCCAAGATGGCCTCTAAGACTGCCCTGGAGCATTCATTCCAAGACGGCCCCAAGTCGGCCCAGAGGGGCCCCCCAAACGGCGCCCGACGGCGTCGGACAGGCCAGGAGCCCACCAAAACGGCAGAAGATGGCCCTAAGCTGGCCCAAGACGGCCCAAGAGGCTCCGAAGAGGCCTCCAATACGGCCCAAGAGGCCTCGAAGAGGTCCTCCAGGAAGGCTCGAAGAGGCGAAACTCCGTGATTGGCCTAAGGGGTTTTCACGGAGTTTGGCATTTGCGCCTGTTCGGCTTTCCGACGGCCCAAGACGGCCCAAAACGCACCCAAGGTCGCCCTAAGATCGCGCAAGAGGCTGCAAAATGGCCCCATGACGGCCTCAAGACGGCCCCACGAGGGCCCCAAGACGGACCAAGAGACCTTTAAGACGCCCAATATTGCCTCTACGACGGCCCCGAAGCGCCCCAAGATGGCCCCAAGAGGGCCCAGAGATGCCCCCAAGACGGCTCCCGACGGCGTCAGACGTGCCAGGAACCCACCAAGATGGCCGAAGTTGGCTCGAAACTGGCCCAAGACGGCCCAAGAGGCCTCCAAGAAGGCCTCCAGGAAGGCCAGACAGAACACCAACAACACTTATGTTCCTTAGGTTTTTGAAGGAGTTTGGCATGTGCTTCTGTTCGGCCTTCCGAAGGCCCGATACGGCCCAAGAGCCCCCGAAGATTGCCCAAAGATCGCCCAAAAGGCCTCCAAGATGGCCCCAGAACGGCCCAAGAGGCCCCCCAAGACGGCCCCAAGAGGCCCCCCACGACGGCCCAGGAGGTCTTTAAGACGCCCAAGATGGCCTCCAAAGCGGCCCTGGAGCACCCCAAGAGGGCCCCAAGTCGGCCCAGAGAGACCCCCCAAACGGCTTCCGACGGCGTCAGACGGGCCAGGAGCCCACCAAGATGGCCGAAGTTGGCTCGAAGCTGGCTCAAGAGGCCTCCAAGAGGGCCTCACGGAATGTCAAAAACGGCCAAACACATTGTTGGTTCCGCAAGTGTTGGAAGGAGGTTGGCACTTGCTGCTTTTCGGCCATCCGAAGGCCCGATACGGCCAAAGAGCCCCCAAGGATCGCCCAAGGATCGCCCAAGAGGCCTCCAAGATGGCCCCAGAACGGCCCAAGAGGCCCCCCAAGACGGCCCCAAGAGGCCCCCCACGACGGCCCAGGAGGTCTTTAAGACGCCCAAGATGGCCTCCAAGACGGCCCTGGAGCATTCATTCCAAGACGGCCCCAAGTCGGCCCAGAGGGTCCCCCCAAACGGCGTCCGACGGCGTCGGACAGGCCAGGAGCCCGCCAACACGTCCGAAGATGGCCCTAAGATGGCCCAAGACGGCCCAAGAGGCCTCCAAGAGGGCCTCCAGGAAGGGGCCGAAACTGCCAAAACCATTGATTTCCCATGAGTGTTGAAGGAGTGTGGCATTTGTTTGTTTACGGCCTTCCGACGGCCCGAGAATGCCCAAATGCCCCCAAAGATAGCCCAAGAGGCCCACGACTGCCCCCAGAGGCCCCTAAGACGGCCCAAGAGGCCTCAAAGACGCTCAAGATGGCCTCCAAGACGGCCCAAGAGCCATCCAAGACGTCCTCCAAGAAGGCCCGAAGGGGTCAAAATGACCTCCAGACGGCCAAGATGACCTTCAAGATGCCCACGTGTTCCCCGAAGGCTTTCCAAACCGATTCGGGGAACACATGGTCCGATAGCTTGGCAGGTCTGGCCTCAGCGTTCGACCACATGGGCGCTTCCAAAAAGGCGGGGGGCGGCGGTGGTTCGCCGGAGGCGTCTTAGATATTGTGCATATGTTCTTGAGTGTCTTGCGCTCACGAATCAGCCCCGAAGAATGTCCACAACGCTGTGCGCAGTGGCGGTGGCAAGCATGGTTTCGTGGTCACGTTCCTGTCCACGGGAACAGGTCTTGTAGAACTTACATCCACCAACGTTTCCCAAAAAGCAAAGCAAGCTGAATAGGCCCTGCATCTCTGCATACCCCGTGAAGTACTATATTATCGCCGCGGGTCGTCGGACATGTGCTCGATCGAAGTGCTCCGCTCGATATATGCCCGTTCGCGTGAAATTGTGTGCAGCTGTCAGAAAATGCTCCGCTCGGTAGTTGTCCACCCGCCGTTTGCCCGCATGAAATTGTTCATGGTTGCCCGCTGTTTCACAAGGCGCTCAGGCAACTGGAGGTCAAAGGGGTCGTCTGGATCCGGATTGCCCCCCCGGTCCTTGCGCCAGTAGGATACAATGCTGCAACTGCTATAAAGGCTCTCTGAGGTGGGAACGTACACCATGAGTGCTATCGCCAGCAGTGCGGCGTACAGGGCCAGAGGTTCGACGATGTCTAAGTATTCGCAAGTAGACACAATTACCGCGCAGAAATCGGTCGCACAACCAATGTTGAAGCAGACAGCACATTTCTGGGTGGCCGTGAAGCCTCCTCCCTTGGCAAGTAGTCGGTACACGTCGCTATCCCGGGCAGCTTCGTTGAGAGCATTGACGAATGCCATCGCGAGCAGAATGCAGAGCATGTGGAGTGCCGTGCCAATTGAAAGGCCGTAGACAAAAACGCGCTTTCCGACAAAGCAGAAGACGTCACCGTCGTCGCAAGGCTCGAAGATGAAGTCGGCGGGGCTGGCGATCAGCGCGATGGACATCGACAAGAAGAGCGCAGAGTAGATGGCGTAGTTCTCCACCTTGGTCCGCAGACGACCCGTCAACTCCTGCACCCCGTGAATCATCAGAAGCGCGCCCCACCCGCCGGGGTGCTTCTGGTAGTTCGTGATCCACTCGTGGACCGTGTGCATCCCGTGGGTGCGCTTCCAGAAGTCCAGCATTTCGTCGAGGCGGGCGAACTGCTCCAACTGGGTCGCCAGGGCGGGGGAACCACCCTCGGCGGCCGGGTGCGCCGCCGCCATCGGCGCCGCCGCGGCGCCGACGGCGGGCGCAGTGCTCCCGCGCCCGGCGGAGCCGTCCAGCAGGGGCACCTCGCACTCCTCGCCGACGGCCTCGGCGGCCAGGCCCCCGTGTCCCCAGCCTGCGCGCCCGGCGCCGCACGGCGTCGGCGCCGCCGCGCGGGCGCCGTCGGCGGCCACGGCCGCGGCGGCAGCTGCCGCCCCTCCCGGGTGGCCGCTCACAGCCGAGGTGCCTGCCAGGGCCTCGGGACGCCGAGCGCTGGCTGGCCGCAGGAACCGCATCTCCTCGAGGACCTCGCGCTGTGCGGCCAGCAGCTCCTCGGCCAGCCGCTGCTGCTCCGCGTGCAGCAGCCGCTGCTGCTGGCTCCACTCCTGCAGCAGCTCGCACACCCTGTCCTGCGCGGCCAGCGCCAGCATCGGCTCGAAGCCCCTCGCGCCGCCACGGGGCGACGCGGCAGCGCCTGCGGCGCCGCCGCCGCTCTCGGGGCGGCCACCGTGCTCCTCCGCGGCGGCGCCACCGCTTGCCACCCTCCGCTGCGCGAGCAGGACGGCCCGCGACCCCCCGACGCCCTGCATGTGGCCCTGGGCGGCGCCGCCAGCCAGAGGCGGAGCGCTGGCAGGGAGCTGCCTCGGGCCGGCTGGCGCCCCGGAAGGGGTCTTCGACCTCGCCCCCCACTCCTGACCTCCTCGCGCCGCGACGGCATCTCAGGGGGCTCGCACCCCATCTTCCTCTCCTCCTCCTCCTCCTTCTTCTCCTCCTCCTCCTCCTCCTCCTCCTCCTCCTCCTCCTCCTGGTCCGTAGCTCCACTGGTCGCGCGGGCTCACGTCGCGATGACCTCCGCGCTGGTCTCTGCTCGGCGTCGCTTGGCCGATCGCGGCTCTCCGATGGCGCGGAGCTGGTCGATGCTGGCCAACTCTGGGCCACCGGCGGCGTCACACCTTCGACGCCCGCGTCAACGCGGCGCACACCTGCCGTGGGAGGACGCGAGGTGAGATCGATACGCCACGCGATCCGGCAAAGGCAAAGGGAAAAAGAGCTTCAGGTGACCGACAGAGATTCGCCGGTAAGTATGTGGTATGTGTGGCACCACCTCTGCACACCGCAAGAACGAACATAATCCGCTGATCCGGCGTGTGAGTTTCAAGGAGTCTCAGCTACAGCCTCGAGGCTGAGCCTCAGCCTCTGGGGGGGTTGCTGGGGTGGCTCTGCCGGGGAAGGGGGGGTGGTGGGGGGGGGGCGGGGTACGAGTTTTCCGGCGGTCGCGGGGCGCTGCTTTTACAGAAGGCTCTAATCTCGAGGATGCGCTGAAAGGGTGGCCGCGGCCGCAAAAGTCTCTGAGGAAGGTCTAAGAAAGTTCCGAGACCCCGAAAGATCGCCCGAACACGCCCAAGATGGCCCCAAGACGGCCCCAGAGCCTTCCAAGACGTCCGAAGAGGCCTCCAGGAGGCCTCCCACGAGGGCCCCCAGAGATCGTTGATTTCAATTTTTTTGTATATTATTTTTGGGGTTGTCGCTTTTTTCGGCTTTCCGACGCTCCAAGACGGCCCAAGAGGCCCAGGTGTGTGCTGCTGTGCGAGTGTCTGTGTGTGGTGCGTGTCTGCGAATGTCTGTGCGTGCCAATGTCTGGCGTGCGCCTAGTGTGTCTCTGTATGTGTGTCTGCCGTATGTGCATTTGGTCGTGTGCGTGCGTGAGGTGTCCGCGTAATACGTGTATCCGCTCGGCGTGCGCGCGCGTGCGATTCCTAACTGGTATGTGTGTGTGTGTGTGGGTGGTGGTGTGTGTGCATGTCTGCGGCGCGGATTAGGTGGTGTGACTGTGTGTGTGCGTTTGAGTGTGCGCCCATAATGTCTGCGTCTGGAAAATAACACCGAGCGACCCGGATCGGAGGCACTGGCCGAAGGCCACTACAATACTCAATAGTACCTCTGTGATGTTGTCTTGCTTCGCCGTCAACATTCCTCCCACGGCTAACATCCACACGCTACTCTAGAACATGCCGTGGCCAACGTCCGTCGCCACGCCACTGTCTACGAGCATCGCAAGATCACAGACGAGGAGCGAGGGAAATGAGCATGAGGAGGGGAGGAAGGGAACAGGCCAGTGTGCATACGGAAAACCCCTGCGGCCAAAAGGGCCAATCATAGAACGCAAAAGCGCACAAAGCCAGCCACGAGGGGGAAGGGAGAAGAATGGAGAGAAAGAGAGAGAGAGAGAGAGAGAGAGAGAGAAAAAAAAAAAGAGACTGAACATTGCCTCGATGGCAAGGGGTCCGGTACTGGTCAGGCTTCAGCCACCCCGGGTAGTCCTGGCTGGCCTCCCCAGGATAGCCACTGGTCCGAGGAGCTCTGCACACCCCCGCGCCGCCTCCGGCGGCGCCCCTGGGGGAGGAGGAGGAGGAGGAGCAGGAGGAGGAGGAGGAGGAGTAGACCAGGTCCTCCGAGTAGTTCGCGGCGGTCTCAGCACCCTGGCGCCGCCTCCGGCGGCGCCCCTGGGGCGCTCCGTGCCCCTGGGGCTGAGGCGTCGAGGCCGCCCCGGACTGCTCGGGGGGCCTGCCGAGGCCAGCTGGGACTTTTCGGGGGGCCTGCCAGAGCCCGGACTGCCTGGGGGGGGGGGGGGAAAGGGGCTGTCTGCGCGCAGCCCGAAGCCTTGCCACTCGGAGAGCGGATCGGCGGGATCGGGAGGCAACCACTGGGAGGGTTTCGTCGGAAAGATTGAAGAGGATGGAGCCCCATTGGGGGGCTGTTATGCCGGAGTGGGCCTCAGATTAAGCCGGGTTAAGCGGGATGAAGCGGGACGAAGCCAGATTGAGATGGAAGGGCAAAAGCAGAATTTGAGCTCCCAGGAGCTGCGTCCGAAGCGGGATCAGCTGCGGGTGCAATCCTTGATCAGCTCCCCGAGGGACGTCGCGGACAGCAGCCCGGCGCTCCTGCCGTTCAGCACCTGCAGCTCGTCCCCGACGGCCACCTGCAGGGCCCGCGGCGGGGGAACGCGTGCGGCGGCTCCCAAAAAGGCAGAAGCGTCCGAGAGCCTCCTCCTCCTCGTGCTGTTCAAACTCCCGATGAAGATGATGGGCGCGGTGGACGCGCGAGAGACGCCTGCGACGTGACAGAGATTTGAAACACATTGACGCGCCTCGGGCTTCCCAGCCCGATCATGCGAGAGCCCCCCGCCGGTACCTGTCCTGGCATGGTGGAGGTTTTCCATCCCCCCCTCCTCCTGGCATGAAGGAATACAAGGCCCCGACGGAAACGGGCCCTGGATGTCCAGGGGTTTCTCCCCCGGCTGTCGCAGGGGCGGCGGTGAGATGCGGAGAGAGGGGAGGGGAGCGAACGAAGAAGGAGTAGGAAGAGGGAGAGAGGGAGGAGCAGGAGGAGGAGGAGGAGAAGGCGAAGGAAAAACAGGAGGAAGAATCAGATGATTCACTCCGCACTCTGGGACCCCTAAAACAGCATAGTATGCCTACTCCGTGGCATCCACACTCGTGTCTTAAATGCCACTCACTGCTCAAACCTTGCCCCCTGGTACCCCACGATTCTCATCGTGTTCTTCCTGCCCCTCGTCATCCTACCCCTCTTTGCCCTTCGAATATCGAAGATGGAGACGCTTCTGTTTAGAAAACCACGCTTCGCAATTTTTCCCTACCATCCTGTGTTGTTGGGTCATCGTTTTGAAGAGACGATGCCCCGCGTTCCTCCTCCTCCTTCCCCTCCTCTCCTCCTCCCTCCTCCCTGCGTTCCACCCACCGAGTACAACGCTTCGTGGCCCCATGAAGAAATCCACCTAAGGCCCCAGTGGCGCAGTTCGCATGACGCCGCCGCCCCATTTTGGCACACCCCTCACACGTTTCGTGGCCCCACAAGGAGCTCTTCCTACGGTCCCAGTGGCGCAGCTCGCACGGCGCGGCCGTCCCATGTTGGCACACCCCTCACACGTTTCGTGGCCCCAAAGGGAGCTCCACCTAAGGTCGCAGTGGCGCAGTTCGCATGGCGCCGCCGCCCCATTTTGGCACACCCCTCACACGTTTCGTGGCCCCAAGAGGAGCTCCACCTCAGGTCCCAGTGGCGCAGCTTGCATGGCGCCGCCGCCCCATTTTGGCACACCCCTCACACGTTTCGTGGCCCCACAGGGAGCTCCACCTACGGTCGCAGTGGCGCAGCTCGCACGGCGCGGCCGTCCCATGTTGGCACACCCCTCACACGTTTCGTGGCTAGGGAGCTCCACCTAAGGTCGCAGTGGCGCAGTTCGCATGGCGCCGCCGCCCCATTTTGGCACACCCCTCACACGTTTCGTGGCCCCATGAGGAGCTCCACCTCAGGTCCCAGTGGCGCAGTTTGCATGGCGCCACCGCCCCATTTTGGCACACCCTCACACGTTTCGTGGCCCCACAGGGAGCTCCACCTACGGTCGCAGTGGCGCAGTTCGCATGGTGCCGCCGCCCCATTTTGGCACACCCCTCACACGTTTCGTGCCCCATAGGGAGCTCCACCTAAGGCCCCAGTGGCGCAGTTCGCATGGCGCCGCCGCTCCATTTGGGCACGCCCCTCACACGTTTCGTGGCCCCATGGGGAGCTCCACCTCAGGTCCCAGGGGCGCAGCTCGCATGGCGCCGCCGCCCCATTTTGGCACACCCCTCACACGATTCGAGGCCCCATAGGGAGCTCCTCCTAAGGCCCCAGTGGCGCAGTTCGCATGGCGCCGCCGCCCCATTTTGGCACACCCCTCACACGTTTCGTGGCCCCAGAAGGCTCTCCACCGAAGGTCACAGTGGCGCAAATCGCATGGCGCCGCCGCCCCATTTTGGCACACCCCTCACACGTTTCATGGCCCCATAGGGAGCTCCACCTACGGTCGCAGTGGCCCATTTTGGCACACCCCTCACACGATTCGTGGCCCAATAAGGAGCTCCACCTCAGGTCCCAGTGGCGCAGTTTGCATGGCGCCACCGCCCCATTTTGGCACACCCTTCACACGTTTCGTGACCCCACGATTGCGGTACTCACAATTGCGGTACTCACAGCTGCATCTGGTTGGGTCCTTCGCCAGGCAAATATTTGATCCAGATGCCTGAATTTGCAAACTATGTCCTAAACTTCTTCGATGGTCATAGACGGAATTCGGCCTCAATAGGCTTCTGCAGGGGGTCCTCCGTAGACGTCTCGGGGGCCATCCCGGGCGGCACTGAGACTCAGCACTCCCCCTCCCGGGCGTCCCCCCTCCCATGCCTGAGCTGGGTGGACGTCGCGAAGTCGGATCGTTTGATCCCTTGTACACTGCGGAGGGACCGGATCGTTTGTCATCGCGGATCGGGCTTGGCCCCTGCAGGCGAGAGAGGAATTCGGTTCGCGCCGGAGCGGATCGCAGCCCCGTCCCCTCCACCTCTGACGTATCCAAGGCGGGGTCCGTCTCATTGGCATGGGCGACTCGGCTCTGGGTAGGGCATTGGGCCACCCCCAGCGGTCATCACCATCGACATCATCACCATCATCATCATCATCATCAGCATCATCATCATCATCATCATCATCATCATCATCATCAGCATCATCATCATCATCATCTTCATCATCATCATCTTCATCATCATCATCAACATCATCATCCTCATCATCATCAAGAAAAATCATCAATACCAGCATCATCATCATTATGAGTATTTCCACCTATACCATCATCGGCGCCACTACCATGATGAGCATACGTGCCATCACCACCGACACATCATGAACAACAACCTCACTCCTCCCTTTCCCATCCTCGTCACAAACACGGTAGGCTACTGTCGGATTTAAATGTGTGGGCGGCAATATGGGGCCGTTAGGCCCTTGCAAGCACCCCCCCCACAACGCAAGAAGGAACATGAGGAGGATGTCAGGGTCAATAATCATCATGAACTTGTGTTGAACAAGGGCGCAAGATGCAACTGTGTTTTGATCACGGCCCTCTTCCACGACCATACGGCACCGTGCTGTTGTTCCACCATGCAGGGCCCTTGAGCCCTTCATCGAAAACCATTGTTGTGTTGTGGCCCCGGGCCCGAAACGGGCCCTGAATATGTCTGCAATCAAATGGACCCGTTAAATGGCCCCACTGGGGGGACCCGCGTTGCCTGCACATGCAAGGATAGGCCACGCAAATCGTTGCGGCAAATCCATGTCGTGACGGCTTTGTCAGCATCTTGGCCAAACACGGATTGTTCAACCATGAGAGATCCCGCCTTTGCGGTAACGCAGGTCTTCGGTATCAACATGTTCTGGCCAGCTGGTGGCGCTCATCCTTGAACGCCCGCGCGCGGGTTGCCGCCGCGCCAGTGCGGCGCGAGCCTACCATTCATGATTATTGAACTTGGGGGCCCCGAAGCGGTGCGGTGACAGACCATGCGGCGACCTCGGAACCCCCACGAAGGCCTCACCGTACGCTCCGTCACCGCACAGGGCATCGGAGGCCCCAGTCGCCCGAGGCATCTTCACAGAACGAACCAAGTCCCGAAACCACGCGGTCACCCTTCATGCCAACTGAAACATCCAAAGCTTACATGCCCCGAATTGCAAGTCACAACCTGTAGGATGTTGCCACGGAGTGTGACATTGGCTGTTTCAAACGTAATTCTAGAACGATGCGTTCGGCACAATGTCCGCCAATGAGCGCCGAATCAACACGCAACGTGTTTCTCCAAGACGTGTTAACACGGTACGTGCGGCGTTTCAACACGGGCGTTCCAAGGCAGCTCAATCCACACGGCATGGACATCGCACCATTTGGGGCCCCCGGGTGCATCTTCGTGCGCGTTCAAAAGGGGGGGTCCAAGAGGGGGTTCGCAAACCATGGGCCGAGGCATGAGCACGGACGGAAAATAACCAACCGACGTGTTGAAACCAGTCACCACCCCACTAGTCAACAAGTTAACCACCCGACTAGTCCTGGAACCACCACCCCCGAATCAACAAGTCACCACCCCACATACCATGAGTTCAACAACCCGTAATTATCCCCCCCTTCGTGGCCGCCCCCGACCTGGACACATCCCCACACTGCGGTGCGCCTGATTTGTCATCCCGGGGCGGACGTCGAATCATCTCGTTCCAGCGTCGGGTTGGTCGGCTTGCATCGACGTGTACGCCCACCATGCTACAATGAAAAACGCGGGCAGGAAAACAACGAACTGGCTTTTCTTCAGGCGACGCCGACGGCGGAGCTCGGCCACGAACAGGCAAACAACTTCCCCGCCCTATGATCATCATATCCGCGATGTTTGTTGGCCGCCCCCGAACATTGGACACACGTGGATGTCGCCCGGGCGGCCCACATGAGAGGGGAACGCTCCTGTCGAGCCACGGTGTTCAAGGGTCCTGGAAGCCGGAAGGCAGCGGCAGACAGAAGACGACGGCGAGGCACAAGGAGAGGCTGGCAGATGCGTGATACTTCCGACGCTGGGACCCCGTATGACAACTTCCCAATACAAACTGGAAATGCGGCTCACCGTCGCCAATATCCTGTCACTTCATCACCCTGTCTCCCCATCTCTTTTCTCTTTTTTCGCAATGGCGGAGGCCTTGCTCCCGTCCCCTGCTTTGCCTCCGCGCCTCCCTGCCTCCCCCTCCCATACACATCATCCCGCGCCCATTGCGCAGAGGGCCACGCGTCGATGTTCCTGGGTGCCGTCGCCGCCGCGGCCTGCAAAAACGCGTTAACCGATGGCCAGATCGCGGAACAGCTGGGGCACCCCTCGAACCAGACTGTCGGGGCAACCCCGCAGGCCGCTGGGGCGGGAGGGATGGGTACTGCGACTGATTCCGCAGGCCTCGAACTGCGCGCCGCGACACCCAGGCGGGAGGCAACGGGACGCCTAATCCGAAAGCCCTTATAACGGCGACGAGGCGACGATCGAAAGCAGTGCCCCGGCACTGCTTTGAACGCGTTCAAAGCAGTGCCCCGGCACTGCTTTGAACGTATGATATGATGATATG